TCCCAAACCCAGGTACTTCTAAAAAAAAAAAAAAAGAAAATGAGTCACTGAGTAAGGTCAGTGCAATTCCTTATTGCCCACACAGTGGCCTGTCAAGGAGCCTCTTGTCAGTGAGGCTAAGTGAAGCTTAAGATAAAAGTGAGGCAGGAAAGGTAGGCAAGAGAACAGTGCACACTATCTCTCTCAGTACTGAAATAGGACTGTAATTCCATAAAGATACATAATTTGACTAGGGTTTAATTATACTATTTTTTAAAGCTAGCATAGTGCTGGGCACTGAAGCTTTAAGTACCAAGGAAAACCCTAAAGATCCATGGAGAAAAATGAAGAAGCAATCAGTGGAGCCAAGGACATGTTACAGTGTTTTACAAGTTACTCTCAATATAAAGCAGGATATGGAGATTTTTTTTTCCCAAAAGAGAGGTTAAAAGTGAAAAACACCAGCATAACTTACTCATTTGAGACTGCCTGCTAAAAATTATTCTATCAACACAGAACTACCATCATGCCCTTCCCAGTGATAAAGGCTTTAGCTGTCTCCTCTAGTGAATAATTTCCAACAACAAGCTGAAATCAGGAAACTATGTGAAATATGTTGTGTATGCTTTGCCCTTTCAAACTCTCACACACACATACACACACACACACACACACACACCTTGACTGCTTCTATGACACTGAGCATCACCATATACACGATACTCTGAAGTTCTTAGAATTAAACAAAAACACAAACATGAGGAAAAGGATACCCCATCCTCATCTCTAATTCCAAGACTCCATGCAGCACATTAAGAACAGAGCAACTTCAGCAGTCAAAATGAAAACAGAGTCATGAATGTTTGGATTTGGCAACTGGGACAACCCACAGATTATGCTGAGAAATTCTTGTGTTGGTGCCAGATGCTTAGCCACTGAGGACTCTGTAGGTATCTTGTATTCCTGTGATCAAAACTCCTACGTGCTTAAAAGGTAAAATCTTCATGGGGATTAGACTGTATTGAGGTTTCTTTTCGGACCTGACCAAAGGTGTGGACACTCACATAACAAAAACAAATGTGGAAGCTTCAGTCACTACAAAAGGAGAAACTCCTGATAGTTTTCTCTATTGTCAGACAGGCACAGTTATTTCAGGATGGCTGCAAGCGCATTCTTCCAAGAAACTGCTCAGATTCTGTAACATTCACAGAGTCTCTTCTGAGCAAAATTCTTAAAACCATCATGTCACCTCAAACCATTTCCAAAACAGTCACCAGTAAGAATTTACCATTCTATCAGTACTCTAGGTAGAATAAGCTAAAAATAACACTTTTAGAGTTGTGTCAAGAACTTTACTCTGTAGATAAGATAACAGCACAGATTATACTTATTAGTCATGTAACACTACATTTGCCATTTTAAAGAATGAGGTGATTTAACAAGAATCCTGTGCGCTTTTGTTTTCATAAGGTAACTAAAAAATTCTAAGAGGTTGCAAAACAAAGGAGGACAAAAAGAAACAAAAGTCTTAAGGATTCTTTAAAATTAAAAAATATATATATTTGGCATTTTATTTAACTAAGAAAAAGAAAGGTAATTTGCAAATTAAAGGGACAACCAAGAACAACAATGATGCCCATAGACATGTTAGTTGTAAAGGGGAAAACCCTTAACCCAAGACAAAGAACTACAGGCAATAAAGGAATGTTGAGGGTTGTCAATGTAACAACAATTAAAGAAAAAGGCCATTAATTAGAACAATGTGGAGGGTATACGTGACAGTGTTTGGAGGAAAAAGTGGAAATGGGAAATGATATAATAGTAGAGTTTCAAATATTAAAATTTTTAAAAAAGATAGAACCTAGAACACTACTCAGAATATAGCATAAACAAACAAAATGTAATGTATGATAATAATTACAAGAAATCATGATGGTTTGGGGGCATAACTAGAGATAAAATGATAGAGCTCAAGCAAGGAACTGAATTCAATCTCTAGCATTGGAGGGGCAGTTGATAAGAGCCAACACAGTTAACAGGAAGTTTTGGAGAATGACAAAAATGAAGTGATATTTGAAAGCAAAACAACAGGAAATATTCCAGAATTGAATAATAAAGATCTATGTATGAAACACTCTTTAAAAAGGAAAAATAGAGATCATAACCATTTCATAAATATTTATTAAGCCCTACCTAATGTTACCTTCCTCCTACTCTGTGACCCTTCTACCTTGATCACATGTTTCTATGTCCTTTTTCAAGCCATGACCTATAACTGTCCCCTTTCTGGTTCAGATCTCTTAATCTTGAGCCAATTTATACCCTTTTTATAAAGTTATTTTCAGGACTAACTTTCTCTCCATAAATGGCCATTTTTCACTAATGTCCTTTCCTATGGATGAAAATTACATAGATATGTCATTTCTATCTTCCCACAATTCTTTTGCATACCTTTGTCTCTTCTTGTTCCACCATGACCATAATTTGACTAATTAAAATAGTTTCCTATTAGTCTCCCTTTTAGTGACAGCAGTGCACAAAGCACTACTACCAAGGATAACGACAGTTACAATAACTGGTGCTTTATTTACGATGAACTTTCTATGTACTAGAGGACTCTGACACAGCGACAGAACAGGCAACATCAGCTGCACCCAGAATTTGTAACTCAGCTTTGTATGATTTCCAAATATATGCTAATTATGCTGTACTAAAGTTCATATTCTAGCCACCTGTTGGGCTTTTGACCCAGGACAAGCAGCTGAGGTATCTTTTGAACCAAGGCACACCAGACCTCCAGGTTCTCCCAGCATCCCTTGGTCTTTACCTACCACAGGGCATGGCTGGCATATCCTGGTCTCTACCCTGAACTCTTCAGCCCAGGGCTAGAGCTTCTCTTGCCCCAGAGGCTCTTCACTATAATGCAGACATTTTGGTTCCACCCTCTCTCCTTTTTTTGTTTCTTCTCTCTCTCCTCTTTCTTTCTCCCTCTCTCCCCTGTATGCACACCTTTCTGCCTTTCTATCTCCCCCTGTATAGCGACTTCTCTGGCCCCATTCTTTGGAACTAGTGAACCTGCAGAGAGCTGCTCCCAATAAATTTTCATTTATATACTTTAACTTGCCTTGAATTAGCTCATTTCACACCCACCCACCAAGAACAATTTCTGTCACCACCTTAATTCTGCTCTCCATCATCACAGAGTGACAGGGGTAAACTTCAAAGCTCTCACAGTACTCTTGAAGTCAAAGTTCTCCAAAGTCTAATTCCCAAGACTAGTTCCCTGACTTCATTTCCGCACTGGCTCACTTTTTAAAAATATCTATCTATCTATCTATCTATCTATCTATCTATCTATCTATCTATCTATCTATCTATTCGCTTTTCATCCCAGTTGTAGACCCCTCCCTTCATCTCCTCCCAGCTCCCTAAACCTCTCCTTTATGAGGAATAGGGGATCCTCCCTACTTACCCTAGTTCCAACTCCTCTAGTCCAATGAGGACTGAGTGGGTCCTCTTCCCCTGTGGCCTGGTAAGGCAGTCACACTATGGGGAAGTTATCAAAAAGCAGGCAATGAAGTCCATGTCAGAGACAGCCACTGTTTTCCTTATTAGGGAACTCACATGAAGCCTGAACTACATATATTTAGGGGACCTAGGTCCAGTCCATGCATGGTTCTTGGTTGGTGTTTCAGACTCCACAGGCCTTTCTGGATCCTGGTTAGTTGGTTCTGTTGGTCTTCTTGTGGAGCTCTTGTCACCTCCCAGTCCTTTTACCATTCCCCCCACTTTCCTGCTAGGCTCCCTAAGCTTGTTTTGCCCAATGTTTGGCTGTGAGTCACAGCCCTATATTAACGGTTTCATACCCCAAGTTTCTGTTCAGTTTCTTTTATACAAAATATTATCTATCTTTTTTACTTATTCTTCAAGAAGTCTTCTCTTAGAGACAGGCTTCCTGAATTATCCAAGTAGGCTCAAAGCTCATTCCTAACTCTAACCCAACAATTACAACATTATATGGAAATTGCAACCTTAGCTTTGGTTTCCCTAAAATTTATCTGACAAATCTTTTGATATGAGGATTGTTTAAGCGTTCATGTATTGTACACTATGACCCTCCTAAAGTGAAGTCAGCTTTTATTTTCAATTTGACATAACCTAGAGTCAGCTGGGAAGAAGAAATCTGAATCAAGAGATTGCCCAGACTGACTGATCTGTGGATACCTGTGGAGTATTTCCTGATTGCTAATCGATGTAGAAGAGCCTGCCCTACCTGTGGCCAGTGACACTTCCTGTTAGGTAGTCACTGAGGTACTCTACACTGTCAGGTAGTCAGGTTGCATGAGAAAACTAGCTAAGCTTAAGTTGTTAGCAAGACAAAGAGAAAACGAGAAATAACATTCCTTCTTGGTTTCTTCTTCAAGATCTCAACTTGAGTACCAAATGCTCTGTTGGCCAACTATCTCCTCATTTAATCTTAACAATCAGACCCCATCTGATTTCTACTTCTTAAATCCAGCCTGTTTGTCTCTGCTGTTTCGCAGCTCTAATGTTACTAATAAAGAACCCATGGGGCCACAAGCTTTTCTTGTGACCTCTACAGAGAATCATTCCATCAGGGACGTTACCCTTCTCTCCATATGGAAGTTGATTTCCTTAGGGGACTCAGAGGAGTCTGTTTCTTCTTTTTACTCCTCAAGCATTCTTTTTTTTTTTATTTCAACTAAATTCATTACTGATCTGTTTGTAGCACTTTTGTTGTACTGTATAAAGTACAGCAAGTCTTAGTAGGTATTTTCTAGATGAAGACTTCTACTTTAAAATTTCTTCAGTTGCCAGACTGTGCATGAGTATGTCGCCAGTCACTGGGAGCACTGAGTGAACTCTGAGGGTTAAATAGTCTCCTCCTGGAACAGTATTCTAATATAAACCCTTCCTTCTTCAAGTTGCACTGTCACAATATTCTATTACAGTGAGACAGATAGCTAATACAATCAGCATTTTTTCATAAATTTGCTTACCTTTTGTAGTTGGCAAGCTTTGATGATGCTGTTATATCTGTACTCATCATAGGAAACACCAAAGACGATATTTTCTCTGACAGTACCCGGCATAATCCAAGAAAATTGAGAGCAGAATGAAATTCTTCCACTGTGCTTAATTTTCCCCTCTGCAGCTTCCAGTTCTCCCAGAATCATCATCAGGAGTGATGTCTACAAATAAAAACCATTGCTAAGTTGTTTGATCAAATGACTCAGCTTCTGCTTGACTCCAGTTATCCTAATAAGTCTTCCAATGTTTAAAGAGTCTATTAACGCATTTGATTAAAGATGTTTGTAGTACTTCATCGCTCAGGGGCTTTTCTAGGCATAAAAAAAAAATACAAAGGGAATAAAAAAGACATTGGCAATAGAGTGGCAGTGCTATATTTATGATCAAAGTTCACACCAGTAAGTCCCTACTTAAGCTGGGACTGATTTGCAGGGATGAGATTGGTAACAGGGAATATTTGTTGAGAGCTCAAGGGCAAGTACTGCTCCATTAACTATAAGAGTGTGTTTATTCATCATAATGAACTAACAGATTCAGTGTTACCTTCATCTTTTAGAGATTAGGCTGAAAAGAAAAAAAAGAACATTCAGATAACCTTTCTTGATGTTTATGAAAACCCCAAAAAGAAGCTAAAGGAACCATCATTAAACAAAGACTTACCAACATTATTCATACAAAATAAGGAAGTACTTATATCTTATTAATATAAAAATTTCCTTTTGTCTTTAACTAAATGCTAAAAATTTTATGAAAGGCAAACTTATTTTTAAAAGGCTTTCTCTGCGTGTCACTTTTATATAACTATAAAAATAAAAATGTAAGAAAAGAACCAAAATATTTTATGTGCCCTCAGAAAAGGGGTCCTAAGTAAAAACCAAGCATATACAAACTAGGCAACAAGGCAGGATGTGGCACAGAGAATTTGTTATCTCCTTAAAAAAATGTGAATGTCAAGTGTGTGTGTGTGTGTGTGTGTGTGTGTGTGTGTGTGTGTGTGTGTGT